CCACTTGGCCCCACACAAAATGGCGGCTCCTGGAGCAGCTGAGCGTCCTGAACCAGGAAGCAATGGATTTCTTGCTTCTGCCACAAACTCCCCAGCTGTAAGCCTTCCAAGCTTCTAAATATTCCTTTATATGTGGTTCAGAGTTCTGGGACCATCCCTGAGCCTGCTTGGTCAGGTATTCTGTGTTGTTGTTGGCAGAGCTCTTTGCTACACGTCCACCTGATCTGCCATCTTGTTTGTTCTCCTCCCTTTGTTTTCTAATACTTTAAAAGGTCTTTTGCAGCACATTATTTCAATGCAGTATGTTGCTTAATTTCTTGACTGCTGCTTCCATGAACATTGATTATGGGTCCAGGTAAAATGAAATCCTTGACAACTTCAATGTTTTCTCCAATTTTCATGATGTTGTCTATTGGTTCAGTTGTGAGAAGTTTTGCTTTCTTTATATTGAATCCTACTCTATACTAAAAGCTGTATTTTTGATCTTTATCAGCAAGTGCCTTAAGTCTCCCTCACTTTTCTCATGCAAGGTTGCGTCTCTCTTATAGGTCTTGCTAAAAGTATCAATGACCGGGCAATACTGACCAATATCCTGAGATTGTTCAACCAGTTTTCCTAAAACTACAGGCTCAAAAAATCACATGTTCTGCCTGCAGAGTTTTCACAGAAAGCAGTATCATCAGGCATTTCCACAAAGCATTCCAATCTCTTGAGACCCTAACTTCTTAGTCCTGATAATAAAGCCAGTACCATGTGTTTTAGGTTTTCCGCTCCGCAAAGATTTGTAGCCTCAGGAACCTTATACAGGGTCACTATGAGTTGGATCTGATTCGACCACACTTAACAACAACAACTGCAGTGCATTTTAGATTCTTGTGTGTCAGCCCCTCAGACTCACTAGCCAATTTCTATACTTGTTAGGGGTCACCTAAGGTGTTGTAACAAAAAGACTCTAAAATATAGCTACAGCAGCTAAATAAGATATAGGCAAGTGGTCCAGGCCTAACAGCACAGCTCTGACATCTTCAATATCTGACTTTGAAGACTGTGCCTGTCTTTGCCACTTCCCACATAGAAGGCTAGCAAATCTAAGGTGATGTCTTCCCACATAGAAGGCTAGCAAATCTAAGGTGATGTCTCAAACTTTGTACACTCATCTTCCCTGCACATCTCATACGTAGCTATATAACCTAGCTACAAAGGAGAAGAGGGACATGTAGCCTGTAGCTGAGTCTGCTTTATTACTAAGAAGAAGATAATGAATACTGGGAACAGTAGGCAATTTCTGCCATACTAATTGAACCAATTACACTTCTGATACCAAGTTAGTGATTTGAGAACCAGAAAGTTAGCTCATAAAGAGTAGCTGAATTGCACCGGTGATAGACTACTAGAGAAGGCAATCAGGAAATCAGCCTGCCTAGGAGCTGACAAGTAATCTGCTTGCTAAGGCTGTCTTGGATTCTGAAAGATGTTTCAGTTTAAATTTCCATGAAACGTGACATCCTTTAGTTCCTGTGAAGCCTGATCTTCAGGCTGGGTTTCCCATTTCCTTATTTACACATGTATTCATGTAATAACCTCCCTGTTACATGAGCTAACCTTAGCAAACTTGTTCCTTAAAACACAAAGAATCTCCCACACTAAGTTACTATTGCTAAAAAGAAATCCGGCAACCTAACAATATTAAATACTGTTCACAGGTAAATCGTGGTTCTACAGAGAGATCTAAGATTCAGTCTCAGTCCCCTATCTATCATTTGCATGTTGTTGTTTAGTGTCATCAAGTGGGTTCTGACTCATAGTGACCCTGTCTAGAGTTTCTTAGGAACGACTGGTGGGTTTGAACTGCTGCCCTTGTGGTTCAAACTGACCTTGCAGTCAAGCGCATTATGCAGTAATGCCATACCTGGGCTATTAAATACCACATTCATGAATATGCTTAAGTGATTTAATGCCTCTACTTACACTGCAGGAAGAAAAAGGAAAAAGTAGGCCTAATGGAGGTAGTATTTTACTTATTATCTTAGAAAATTAATTGCATAGAACTTAAAATCAGGTCTGCTGATGGTCTGCCAGTATTGAGTATCTGGTATACTTTTTACATCATTTTATGCCAGTAAGTTTTGTTATAAGCTTAGAAACAATATATATTCCATTTCATCAGTGCTATACATTTAAATATTTTTATTTATACAGTTTAAGAAATGGCTTAGTTTTGATGGTGCTACAATAGGAAATCTTGAGAGATTTATATCTGGTTCATTGGCTGGCGTAACTGCACAGACTTGTGTATATCCATTGGAGGTATGTATTCTAAAAATACAAGTTGTACTTCTAATGCAAATTATAACCCTTTATGTATGAGTCTCAAATCAGAATTTTATGCAAAAAACCCATGTTTATAGTTAACTACAGAATTTGAATCTCATATCAATTGTCAGTTGGCCTGAGTGCACTTTTTTTTTCTTAAGACAAGGTAATATTGTAGATGTACCAAGAAAATAAACTATTGTGTTGACTGTTCATTTTGCTTGAAACAAATCACTAACTTATGAAACAGGCAAACTTGTGTTGTGCAACCCTTAGGTTTAAGATATGTTACTATGCGCTACATGTTAGTATATGTTACTATGGCTATATGTTGGGCTACTAACCTCAAGGTCAGCAGTTTGAGTTCATCAGGTGCTCAGCAGTAGAAAGATGAGGACTTTTGTTCCTGTAAATATTTATGGCCTTGGAAATGCTATACAGGGTCACTATGAGTCGGAACCAATTCAATAGGACACCACCACCTCCTCTAAGTGCTGTGGAATCCAGAGAAGAGCTAGACTTGGATCTTGGTTGTAGAGTTTATGGTCTAGAAAGGGAGATACTACAGATACATTGTTATTCATGGTTGTTGTTGTTGTTAAGTGCCATCAAGTCGGTTCTAACCCATAGCTATCCTATAAAGGGTTTCCGAGGAATGGCTGGTGAGCTTAAACCTCTGACCTTGCAGTTCAAACCGACTTTGCAGTCCAGTGCAGTAGCCCACAGCACCACACCAGGACTCATGGTACAAAAGAGAAAATATATGTTCTAGAAGAAAAGTAAATATATATTACTATGGAAATTCAGAGGAGAAGTAATTATTTTCAGCTAGGGATTTAATGAGAGATGTGAATGGAGTGTGTGAGCCTGGCTTAGAATTTGGACATGCAGAGATGTTGGTGAAGAAGATTTCATATGGAAATAACAGCCTGAGCAAAGAATGGAGTTTTTTTTTTTTTTTAATATTTAGATTTGGACCAGGCAATGGCATAATAATACCACAGATGAAAGGTAGGGGTAAATCCGAAAGGGTTCTGAATGCATTGTAAAGAATTTACATTTCATTCCTTAAAAATATGAAACTATTTAAGACTTTGGAGCATGAATTATGATCTTTATAAAATGATCAGAGATTAGAGTGATGGGAAGACTAGATGCAAGATTATCGCCACCATTTGGAGAAATGATATGGGCTTGACATATGATAATGGATAGGGGAAGCAGACTCCATTAAAGCTGCAGTAGGAACTGACAGTGGAAAGCTGGAGATAGGAAGAGGAAGAAAGTGAGGCTCTACTTGGGATCTATGTCTGAGTGTTTGGGAGAGTTACAGCTGAACTATAGCTCTAGCTGTTTGTTTCTTTTGTTAGGTGCTGTTGAGTTGGTACCGACTCATAGTGATCCTATGCACAACAGAACAAAACACTGCAGGGTTCTGCACCAATCTCAAAATTGTTGCTAAGTTTGAGCCCATTGTTGCTGCCACTGTGCCAATCCATCTTGTTGGGGGTCTTCCTCTTTTTCACTGACCTGACACTTTACCAAACATGATATGCTTCTTCAGGGACTGGTACCTTGCGATAATATGTCCAAAGTATGAGAGATGTAGTCTGGTCATCTTGGCTTCCAAGGAGCACTCTGGCTGTACTTATTCTAACACAAATTGATTTGTTTGTTCTTTAGGCAGTCCATGGTTCTTTCAATATTCTCCTCCAACACCATAACTCAAATTCATCAATTCTTATAAGGTCTTCACTGTCCAACTTTTGAATGCAAATGAGCTTATTGAAAATACCATGGCTTGACTCAGGTGCACCTTAGTCCTCTAACAGAGCTAGACAATGGAGGAAGTAAATTGGACTCTGGGAGATGATGAGTTCAGGCTTACATAACTTTAATCTGAGTTGGTGGTGGAACTACCAAGTTATATTTGTCAGTAAGCAGTTACAAAATGTGATACTGAGACTTGACAAGCCTTGTTGTGTCACCTGCTGAGAAATGTGAGTTGAAGCCACGAGGTTGCCTAAGGAAAAAAAGTGTTTTAAAAATACTGAGAATAAAACGTTTGAGAAGTCCTAAATGTAGGGAGTAAGAGGAGATAAAGATGCCAGTGAATCAGATAGAGAAGATTTACTAAGGTAAGAGGTGAGTGAATTACTCTGAAGAGGGTAGAATGGGGTTATCCTAAGTGTGTGGTCCTGTAAATAAGTCCATAAAACAAAGCATTTCTTACTGATTACTGAGAGGCAGCTGCATCAAGATACACAGTTTGCCCAGACAAGACAAAGCTTATTCTCTTTTGCCTCGACTGTTTTCAAGAACCCTTCTCCAACCCAAACACATTGTGACACTCCATTTGTTTCAGAGTAGAACTGCTCCATAGGGTTTTCATGACTGTGATCTTTTGGAAGCTCTTCCCTTACATTCTCTAAGAGGAGAATGTTGGGCATAGAAATATTAATCATATACAGTCTACTGGAGCCTACTATTGTCTTTGTTTTTATAGAGTTTTGGTATGGGACTGTAGGATAAGTACTGGACTGCTAACCATGAGGTTGGTGGTTCAAACCCACCAGTCACTCCTTAGAAACCCTATACAGAGTCATAATGAATTGGGACCAGCTCAATGGCACTTAGCAAGAGCAGCATCGTCCTTATACCCCATGCCATGTCACTACTTTTAAGCACAAAAAGAACCCAAATCAAATTAATTTAATATATTTAAAATTCATTTAGAAGGGTTTATAGGTTATTACGTTAAGCTACTACAGTTCCCAGATTCTTAAGCATCTACAGAAGTTTTTTACATAATGCATCTTTACTTCAACATGACCATATAGTTTTCTTAATTGGAATTTTGGCTATGATCACTTTATTTTAAAGCAATAATGTTATCTCAAATGGGGTCATTTTAGAATTTGTTGCCTCACACACACTGAAGACATTTGAATGGGTATATCAAAGCCATAGTGATTAATTTTATTTTCCTGTTTGAATATTTTTAAAAATTTTGTGTTATGTCTGTTGTTCATAACTGTCAATTAGTGAGAAGTCAAAACTGTAAGTAAGATTTTTTCTTTTTTATTTCTGTGTTAACTAATAAATGTAAAATAATACAACTCACCAATTGTCAGATGAGTTGGATGAATCTGATCAATTTTTACTGTATTCTTTCACATTAGGTTCTAAAGACCAGATTAGCTGTAAGTCAAACTGGGCAGTATTCAGGAATGCTTGATTGTGGCAAGAAGCTTCTGAAACAAGAAGGTGTTAGAACCTTTTTTAAAGGTTATACTCCAAATGTGCTAGGCATTATACCTTATTCAGGCATAGATCTTGCTGTTTATGAGGTAGGTTTATTGTCATAATACGATGCTATATGTTAGATTAGAAAAATGGCATAATGGCAGTTTTTCAGTCTCAAAATCTTATGAATTACTTTTCATAAAGTGCCTTCTGACCAAGAAATGAATGGAATGGTTTTGTTTCACTTTTCTTTCTTTTTGCATTAGCAGTTTGGTTTCCTAAGAATAATTTTTGTTTGGTGGGGTTATTTAATTTCTTTTATAAAAACTTTTTATTGTGAATTGAGTGCAGGTTTACAGAGCATATCATCAGTTTTACATTCAATGAATCATGTACTTCATTTCATTTCAATAATTTCAATCCCCCCATTGTAGCATAATGTATCCTATTTCCTTCCTGTGATTCCTACTTTCCTCCCTCATTCTATAATAACTCTTGTGAATTTTGTCCTTAGGTAAATGCTGCTCTTTGATCATCAATTGTTTGATCATTCCATGGTGTGCATATTTCACTCATGTTGCTATCCCCCCTATATATCTATCTATCTACTGCTTGACTGAAAATTGAGTCACGAGGACCCAAAGGGTGACCAAGAGCCATAGTCTTGGTCAGTCTTCTGACCAGTATGCCTGGTCTTTTTTTAATATTTTGAGTTTTAATCCACATTGTCTCCCACTTTATCTAGGACCTTCTAATGTGATCCCCTGCAGAGCAGTTGGTAGTGGTAGCTGGGCAACTTCTAGATCTTTCGGTCACAGGGTTTTGGAGACTGATGTTCACATTTTCCATTAGTCTGTTGGACTCTTATTTTCTCTGCTCAAAGAAAGACCAATAGTTGCATCTTAGATGGACACTCATGAACTTTTAAGACCCAGTCACAACTCAGATAAGTAAGATATAGAACACTGTTTGTGGACTATGGTATGCTGATTGACCATGGTGTCCCCAAACACTGTGTTCCTGAGTCCCCAGGTCCAGCAGCTCATTCCCTCAAGGTGTTTGGTAATGTGTAAGAAATTTTCATCATTTTGTTGCCTGTATGCTCTGTGGCACTGTAGGCTAATGCATTGGACTGCAAAGTCAGTTTGAACTGCAAGGTCAGTGGTTCAAGCTCACCAGCTGCTCCTTGGAAATCCTATACAGGGTTGCTATGGTTTGGAACTGACTTGAAGGCACTTAACAACAATAACAACAATGCTTCACCATGTTCTTGGGTATGTTTGTAGCAAAGGTGAATATCCATGTACAAATATCTTACATGTTGGTGGATATACTCCCACTCTCCCTCCCATTTAGCCTGTATATGTGTCTACCCATAGATCACTGCTATCCCAGTACTGTGTATGCAACAGTACTTACCTCTGTTCTTTCCAACACTTGCACTCTTCCCTGTGTCTTCCCCTGCCTTCATCATTCTTCTGCCACCCTTCCTCGTGTTGTATATTGCCTTTTCCCTCACCCAAGTTAACCTGTGTTTACCCTCTAGCTGGACTCCTGGTGTGGGGCTTTAGGATAAGCACTGGACTGCTAACCACAAGGTTGGCAGTTCAAGCCCATCAGATGCTCCTCAGAAACCCCATATAGGGCCGCTGTAAGTTGGAATAAACTCGATGGCACCTAACAACAAGAACAAGAACAAGAACAAGGTGTCTTATTTTTAGGAGGTCCCAGTCATCTGTTTTGTCTTTTGTTGTTTTGTGCATTCAGCTATGTGAGATAGGTATCAGAGCCCCTAAGTTTGTCCCTATTTTTCATTGATAAAACTTTGTAGGAACTGGTATTGGCTCTTGCTTAGTTGGGATTGCTGAAGGTATATCTGTGGCTGGGCTGTATGAGTACAGTTTCTGTCTCTTGTGTGGGATAAGAAGAGAAAACACATACAAGGAAAACCAAAACAAACACATAAGCAAATAAAAGTGAAAAAGATAAAGGTGAAAAAGAAAAAAAATCAGGTAGCAGGAAGACAAATTATTATAAAAACTAAAAAGAGAAAAAAGGGAAAGGAAAATAAAACAGTGGAAGAGAAAAATAAGGAAGAAAATTAAAAGAAAGAAAAAAAAATAATCAAACCAAGGAAAGGGAAGAAGAAAAGAGAAGGAAACCAGGTAATAATAGAGAAAAATCATGAGAAAAATGAAAAGTGAAGAAAGAGAGTGGAACAAGGTAAGAGAAGAAAAAAAAAAGCAGAGATAGGATTAGAAACAAGAGACGGGAAAGAGAAGAAGCAGAAGAAAGAATAAACAATCAAGAACAATAAAAAGAATAAACAAGGATAGGGCCAGACCCAGAGAGCTGAAATTTCTGGGGGGCTCCTGCCAGCCAAGGAATTCATGAGGTGGGTGGCGAGGGATGGGAAGATGGTATTCCAGGCCCTAGATAGAGTTTCTATAGGCTTAAGTATTGTCCATGTTCAGGACTCCATCTGGAAGTAGTTCACACTAAATGAAGCTGGGGTCAGGATCTTTGGGATCTACAGGGCAGTTGAGACAGGGCGGCTGGTAAGAGAGTTCTTGCTAGTCTAGAGCTGGCCTCATGGTATTTGGAATTTGGAGTTCTGCAAGTCTGAAGCAGAGCTCACCTGAATTCATGTACTGGGGTGGTGCGGCTGGCACTTGCCTCACCATAATACAGCTCACAACTGTATACCTGTGACCTCCAGGAGAGATGTGGGGGCTGGCCACACCGCTGGTCACTAGGGGAGTGTAGGGACTATGAAAGGACACCTTTCTTGTCACCAGCCATCCCTATGCATCTGCACCTTCAGACCATCTTCTGTTTCCAAAGCTGCTCACAAAAGTTCAAGATGGCTGTGCTGAGTCAAGGCCATCTGTTCATCAGTTTACCTTCCTTTTTTCGCTGCACCTGTTTAATCCTCTTTTCCTAGTAATTATTCAGTCCACTTCTCTCACCTTTCCTGTGAATCTCAGGGTTCCCGGATTATCATCTGTATTTGTTTCATTTGTTCTCCTGTATCTGTTGTAAATGGTCTGTGTAGCATGTCTGCCTAGTCTGTCATCTTGCAGGAAGCCTTGATAATGTTTTAAACCAAATATTTCTGAAACAATCCGCCCCCCCCCCAGCCATTTTTATTCAAAGGGAAGCAAATTTGGAATTATAAATCTTTCTTAAAAGTTGGTAAGATACAGTTTTGTCAGTCTAGGATGGATTGTGCTGACTTCCTCTCTGTTAATACCTTTGAAAATCTCAGGAATTTTGCTTGGGTCTTTGAATATCATTGAAAACCAAACCAATGGACCAAACAAACAAATAAACAAAACACATATAGAGACACAAAAGAGGACTTTGTTGTTGTTGTTGAGTGCCATCGAGTCGGGTCCGACCCATAGCGACCCTGTACAGGGTTTCCGAGGGTGTAAATCTTTACGGGAGTAGAAAGCCTCATCTTTCTCCCGCGGAGCGGCTGGTAGTTTCGAACCGCTGACCTTAAGGTTCGCAGCCCGATTCGTAACCACTACGCTACCAGAGCTCCACAAAAGAGGACTAACATGACGTTATATGAGCTTGTTTGTTTGAAAATATCTCTGTACCCTCTCCCTGGTATGACTGTAGGTACATATTCTTTTGTATAGCCAGGACTGGGATTGATCTTCTATAAAAAACACAGGTTTTGAAATGAAATGATCAAACTTGATATCCACTTATGAGCTTTGTGACTGGTACACATAACTGAGTCTCTCTGATTTAATTTTCTCATTTCTAAAATTTGTCAAACAGAGCTACATTATTGGCCTGTAAAGTTTCTGTAGGAATTAAATGAGATAACATTTATTGAAATTCTCAGTATAGTCTCTCATGAAGAATTTGCTCAAGGTTCAAGGATATCTACTACTCTTTTCTCTGTCAGCTTTTGAAGAATTATTGGCTAGAACATTATGCAGAAGACTCTGTAGACCCTGGGATAATGATTTTGTTGGGATGTTGTACATTATCTAATACTTGTGGTCAGTTGGCCAGCTTCCCTTTGAACCTAATTAGAACTCGAATGCAGACTCAAGGTGAGTTGTTTTTTGTTTGTTTGTTTAGAGAAGTAATGATAACTAACTTAAAAAGCATGTCTAAAATAAGTAGAAATTGATGATTTTCAAAACAAACACTGCAGAAATGATAAATAAACCCAAAGCAAATTTACCATTTTTTAAAAGTTAATTTGTTTTTGATTTGTAAAGCATGAATTTTAAATTTATGTTTTATTGCCCAGGACCTTTTGTGGTTTATAGATTTTATCTCTTTTCTAAAGTTCTTGTTGGAGCCATCCCCATTTCCTTATACTAGGAAGTTCCATGTAGAACAGCAGAAAGGTTTTGCTTTTTTCAAATTCAATGAATAATTACTCAACATGAACGTATAATTTCCCCTCAGTTTGGCTACTGCTGTCAAGTACTACAGCAGGGACTTAATACATTTGTGAATTAGAGCTCAATTATTTTGTGCTCATTCACATGTTGTCGTTGCTAAGTGTCATCAAGTTGTTTCCGACACATAGAGATCCTGTTTCTGGACTGGTGGGTTTGAACTGTTGACCTTATGGTTCGCAGTCAGATGCTTATTCTACAGCGCCACACCAGGAGTCCTCTCATTTATAGGGAGGTGTTATTAGGCAATAAGGAAGGTTATATGTTTTGTTTCTTTCTATTTGAAATGTTAGCAACTTAGAGTTTAAGAAATTAACTTTATCATCTTTCAAGATGAACAAAGTAAACAATCCACATAATTCTATTATCTTCCTGACTAAAGTTATATTCTTTTGCACTCTTCCTCTCTCTCTCTTTTGTTCAATTTTACATTTTAATTTATATTGTAATTCACATGAAGAATCTCCATATCCAGACAATCACTCATTCAGCTTTCTATCAAACTATGTCATAACCAGTACCAAAAGCTCCTCTGAGGTGCCTTATGAAAGACTTTTCAGTACTTTCTGTGATGGTATGATTAGGCCACAAGTCAGACATGACTATGAAGAGCTTGAACTGTTGCTAGTGCATCTCAGGAACTGAGTTTTTAGGTTTATTAATTTTGTAATTAAAATGTAAGGAACCCTGGTGATGCAATGGTTAAGTGCTCAGTTGCTAGCTGAAAAGTTGGTAGCTGAAAACCTCCCAACATTTCAGTGGAAGAAAGACCTGGTGATCTGCTTCAGCCAAGAAAACCTTAGGGGCGAGTTCTACTCTTTCACATGGGGTTGCCATGAGTTGGAATTGACTTGATGGCACCAATATTTGTTCTAATTTAAATTAGATTGAAATAGATACATGTCCAGTGGCTGCCATATTAGACAGTACAATATGATTATTTAGAGGAGACAAACAACCGAAAAGCTAATATAATGTCATGTTAGTCCTCTTTTGTGTCTCTATATCTCTATATGTTCTCATTTATCGATGGACTCTCTTAATGTATACAGATTAAAATTTTGAATTATATTGATTCTTTCCCTTATTATATATAGCCCTGGTGAAAGGAGGACCAACACCTTCTATGATTCATCTCATTCAAGAAATATATCACAAAGATGGAAAAAGGGGATTTTTCAGGGGTATTACCCCAAATCTCATAAAGGTGCTTCCTGCAGCAGGCATTGGTTGTGTAGCCTATGAAAAAGTGATACCCCACTTGGGATTAACCTAGAAGTGAAATATTAAATTGTTGTCATTGTCATAATCTCTTAATTGTATTATAAGATGTGGGTTGTAACGAAATATTTATCTTTCCATAAAAGGAAAGACAATGTCAAATAATTGTTAACACATTTTTTCTTTATTTTATATATTATAAAATCTATAAATTAAATAATTTTTATAAAGTCCCTTTGTACCTTAAAATCCTTACTGTTCATAGCTTTCTCACAAGTCTCCCTTGAAACTTGAAATTTGCTTTTTATTGAATTTATACATACCATAGAGTAACATTATAAAGCATTTGGTCAGCTGTCAAAGTTAATTTTAACTTTTTGTATTTAAACATCTCTCTCTTTTTTTTTTTTAAAGCTGAGTTTGAAATGTTTTATACACTAAAAGAAAAATCAGTGCATTTAAAATTGATGTTATACCAAACAACCCAGTCTCTGTTTCTCTTCTTTAGCAAAAGTAGAAAGTTTTTATAATTTTCTAACTCCTTCTGTAAAAAATGGCATGGCAGAGGTATCTGACCTCATCTGACTTCACAAGAGGGAGGAGGATCAAGATCAAGACTGATGCCTCTGAGGTGGAGGCCAGACATGCCTCTACCCTCCAACCTTGTTACCAGTTCTGACACCAGTTGCTCCAATCACAGTACTTTCTACTCTGCTGAGTTAATAATTCATTGCAATGGCCACACAGAACTCACAGACAGTGCTCATTATTGGGTTTATTAGGGAAATAGCAGGTTAAATCTGGAATTGGAATCAGGGAATAGCAGGTTAAATCTGAAATCAGGGACACCTCTCTCTGACTCTTGATCTGTTGGCCTCATGGCTCCATGGCCTCAGGAAAATGTTACAAAGCCCTTTTAGCTCTTCCAATAAGTCCCAGAAGCATCCCACTCTGCCAGTAATCCTCTGCCCCAAGGTGCTCAGCTCTAGCTCCATGGGTTGGCAACCCTAGCTTCACCAAGTGCCCAGAGAACCCCCACACTGCCAGCAAGCCTCCTGTATAAAAGTACTCAACTCTCTTGCTCTGTGAGTCTGGAAATCCACTGCACTGTCTCTTGTTGGTCTCCTAATTCCTCTGATGCTTCTTGCAGTCTTTCACAGTCTCAGCTCTCTGTCTCTGCCCTGGATTGAGGAAGTTTAGTGCAGGGATCTCTGGTTCACTCCTGGCTCTTCTTTCTTGGTGGTCATGAGATAGCACCCCTTCTACCTCTGGGAAGTCTCATTTTAAGTCTAGTTGTTGTTGTTGTTGTTGCTGTTAGGTGCCATCGAGTTGGTACTCACTCATAGCTACTCTATGCACAACAGAATGAAACACTGCCCAGTCCTGGGACAACCTCACAATTAATTGTTGCCACGCATGAGCCCACTGATGCTGCCACTTTGCCAATCCATCTCGCTGGGGGTCTTCCTCTTTTTCTCTCACCCTCCACCTAACCAAACATGATATCCTTCACAGCGAAGTATGAGAGACGAAGTTTATTTCTGAAGTATGAGAGACGTAGTTTAGCCATCCTGGCCTCCGAGGAGTACTCTGGCTGCACTTCTTCCAACACAGATATGTTGATTCTTTTGGCAGCCCATGGCACTTTCAATATTCTCCTCCAACACCATAACTCAAAAGAATCAATTCTTCTACGGTCTTCCTTATTCACTGACCAGTATTCACATGCATATGAGGTTATTGAAAATACCATGGCTTGGGTCAGGCACACCTTAGTCCTCAAGCTGACATCTTTGCTCTTCAACACTTTAGAAAGGTCTTGTGCAGCAGATTTGCTTAATGCAATATGCCATTTGATTTCTTGATGGCTGCTTCCATTAATGTTGATAGTTGATCCAAGAAGAATGAAGTCCTTGGCAGTGTCAGTCTTTTCTCCGTTGATAAGAACGTTGTTTATTGGTCCAGTAGTGAGGACTTTTGCTTTCTTTACATTGAGATGCAATCCATACTGAAGACTGTGGTCTTTGATCTTCATCAGTTAATGTTTTAAGTCCTTTTCACTTTCAGCAAGCAAGGTTATATCATCTGCATATTGTAGGTTGTTAATGAGTCTTCCTCCAATCTTGATGCCACGTTTTTCTTCATATAACCCAGCTTTTCAGATTATTTGCTCAGCATACAGGTTAAATAAGCATAGTGAAAGAATACAAACCTGTCGCTCACCTTTCTTAATTTTAAACTATTCATTGTTCCCATGTTCTGTTCAAACAACTGCCTCTTGGTCCGTGTACAGATTCCTCATGAGCACAATTAAGTGTTCTGGAAAACTCATACTTTGCAATGTTGTTCATAGCTTGTCATGATGCACACAATTGAAAACCTTTGCATAGTCAGTAAAGCATAGGTAAACATCTTTCTGGTATTCTCTGCTTTCAGCCAAGATCCATCAGACATCAGCAATGATATTCTGTGCTCCATGTCCCCTCCTTAATCTGGCTTGAACCTCTGGAAGTTCTCTGTCAATGTATGCTTGCAGCCACTTCTGTATTACCTTTAGTAAAACTTTACTCACATGGGATATCAAAGAGATTGTCTGATGATTTCCTCATTCTATTGTGTCACCATTGGCCTTTTTCATTACTCTTGAAATAATAGTTTCATGGCAGTTTAATTAAAATTAATGCAAAGATATTTAATTTTTGTAGACTTTAATGTTTTCCTTTAGCCACGATATTTTTATACTCTTTCCAGAGCATACCTTTTCCTGGTATCAAGGTACTTAGGAAACCAAATAAGTAATGAGAAGATTAATGTTGCCCGACTCGATGGCACTTAACAACAACAACAACAACAATGTTGAATTAGATAAAAGAGAGGATATATAGTTGTTATGTGCCATGGAATCAGTTCCGACTCTGACTCATAGCGACCCTGTACAGGGTTTCCAAGGCTGGAAATCTTTATGGGAGCAGAAAGCCTTATCTTTCTCCCACGGAACAGCTGGTAATTTCAAACTGCTGACCCTGCGGTTCGCAGCCCGATTCGTAACCACTAAGCTACCAGAGCTCCGTATATATATATATATATATATATTTTTTTTTTTTTTGAAGAAACATTTTACTTAGGCCCCACATAAGTAAAGGAGAAAAGTTGAGAACCTTTTACACAAAAGGAAACTGAGACCTGAAGCAAGAGAGAAGAAAGAGTTGTAGAATTTTAATTAAACTAAGCCACAGATCACTGGACAGGAGAAATGTAATTCTGTAAATTCATGTAAATTCTGGCAGTGGTGTGTAAGATACTTGAGTAATGGTGGGAGACTTTCTAAAAATGTGGTAAATATATATGCAACAAAACATTTTCCGTTTCAACTTTTTTTCACACGTGCAATTCCATTAGTATTATGTTTATGTGTTTTAACCATCATCATGTCCTGTTTCCAAGTTTTCCATCACCCTTAACAAAAGCTCAGTGTTATTTAAGGAGTGTGCTCCCATTTCCCCCACTGTCTGCCCAGTCCCTAGTTGTTAAGTGCTGCCAAGTCGGTTCTGACCCATAACAACCCTGTATAGGGATTCCAAGGAGTGGCTAGTGAGCTTGAACTGCTGACCTTGCAGTTCAAACAGCTTTGCAGTCCGGCGCATTAACCCACAGTGCCACACCACCTCTAGTATCCTCTACTAATTACTATCAAGTCAATTACAAATCATGTACTTGTTAGGTGCCATTGAGTCAGTTCTGACTCATAGCAACCTTATGTACAACAGAATGAAACGCTGACTGGTCCTGCATCATCCTCACAATCATTGTTAAGCCTGAACTCATTGATGCTGCCACGATGCCAGTCTATCTCATTGGGGGGTTTCCCTCATTTTCACTGACCCTCCACTTTCCCGAGCATGTCCTTCTCATGGGACTTGTCCCTCCTAATATGTCCGAAGTATGAGCAATGCAGTCTCACCGTCCTAGATTCTAAGGAGCATTCTGGTTGTACATCTTCCAACACAGGTTTGTTTGTTCTTCTGGCAGTCCATGGTACTTTTCATATTCTTTTTCAATACCATACTCGAATGCATGAGTTTCTTTATGGTCTTCCTTAATTCATTGTCCAATTTTCATATGCATACGAAGTTACTGAAAATACTATTACTTGGGTCAGGTGCACCTTAGTCCTTCAAACTGACACCTTTACTCTTAAACACTTTAAAGAGGTCTTGTGAAGCAGATTTGACTAATGCAATCCACTGTCAACATTTCCATGAATGTTGATAGTGGATTCAAGCAAAACTTTTTGACAACTTCAATCTTTTCTCCATTGATAGTGAAGTTATTTATTGGTCTTTTCGTTGTTTAAAAAGATATTTGCATTGAAGAAGTCATTGGTCTTGCAAAATTCTATCATGTGATCTCCATCATCATTTCTATCACTAAGATCATGTTTTTCAACTACTGATCTTTGTTTCCAACCTTTGTATTCCAATCACCGGTAATTATAAATACATCTTGATTGCATGTTTGATCAATTTTATACTGAAAAGATAATTCTTCAATTTCATCCACTGGCTTTAGTGGTTGGTGCGTAAATTTGAATAATAGTGGTATTAACTGCTCTTCCTTGTAGGTGTATGAATATTTTCCTATCACAGACAGTATTATACTTCAAGATAGATTTTGAGATGCTATTTTTGATGATGAATGTGATGCCATTCCTCTTCAACTTGTCATAATTGGCGTAAGAGAGCATATGATTTTCAAATTCGAATGTTCAATACCATTTCAGCTCACTAATGCCAAGAATATTGATGTTTATGTGTTCCATTTCGTTTTTGACAACTTCTAATTTTCCTCTAAATTCATGTGGGATATATTCAAGGTCATATTTTGGCTCTCATGGACTTATTTTCATTTTCTTCAGCTTCAGTTTGAATTTGTGAGCAATTGATGGTCTGTCCAACAATCTTCCCCTGGCCTTGTTTTGACTGATGATACAGAGCTTTTCCATCGTCTCTTTCCGCAAATGTAGTCAATTTGATTTCTGTGTATTTCATCTGGTGA